TAAATATCTAAAATGCTAATTCGCAATATTATGTATGACTGCTTTTTTAGCTTTTTTCATTTTACAAATTTAAAATCAATACAAAAAAATACAATGTAATGTTTACAATTCGAAAAAGGATATTTTAACAGATTTAATATGTAAATTATATAAATAAAAATGAGAATGAATATTATAATTTAGGTAATACTCGTATAATATTTTTGTTCACGTATAAATCTATGTATGTAAATCGGCATACATACATAATTACATTTAAATAAAAAATGAATAAAGTTCAAAAATTAAAGTGCATACAAGATTTTCTCTTTAAAATATTTTAGGTTATACGCGATCAATGAAATTCTCTTATAAAAATTCATTTCACAACGCCAATTTTTTGTTAATGATATCGTAAATAAAAATATGTGATATGCTCAATTTTTGGCAAATAAAATTATTTGCAGCGTATAGCAATATAAAATTAGAAAATAGAACATGTATGTATGTATAACAAAAAGCGTACATCGTTAAGAGATTAGATTAAATATCTATTAAATTCAAATTTTAGTTTACAATATTCTTTCTATTTTCATTTACGATATTGTGTATTATTATACATTTAAATTTTGAATCTAATGTTATTTCGTAATTTATATTTTTAAAATTTTAATTGTAATATCGTTTTTAAAATTTTCAAAACTAAAGAAAGAAATTGGAAATCTGGGAATACAAGCAAATTGAAAAAACGAAAATTGTGAGATTACAATTGCAATTAAGGTTGCAACCTTAATACAAATATCACATATCAACCAAAATGACAATATTTATATTATAATATTTATGCAATATTATAATTTAAACAAGCTTTTAATTTTTCAAAATTTTTCATTTTTCATTGAAATTTTCATTAAAATCTCAATTAAGGTGAATTTATTTGTTCGTCTTACGTTCACCGAAATAATGCGCGCGCATATATTTTATGAAAATTTTAATCTCTCATTTTAAATTTTTCATTTTCATTACTTTCTGTGCAGCATTTTCTCTCTCTGAAAAAGTTGAATTTTTGTTCGAAATTAAATGAAATAATATAAGTTTCGGAACAGGCCGATAATCAGCGATAAATCTTCATGAGAGAAATGAGAACGTCTTAATGCGACGTAACAATAACTTCACCTTTAGCCCTCGAATGTGGTCTCATTATTACCATACCATAAATTAATTATTAATTTATAAACACTTCATAAATGTTAATAATATTTATGAAGTGTTAAAATTTTACTAATCTCCCTTATTTATGGTCCACTTATATATGCACGCATCCTATTTTTCTTACCTATACCATAAGTTTGTATACAAAAATATTAATTAAAATTATTGATATTTTCTATTCAAAAGAATTTTATGAAATAATCTCATAGCAAAAATATTAATATCAAATTGTTCATTATTTGTTTAGTTCGAATACAAATACACTACATTGTCCATTATTAGAACGCAAAACAAAAAAAAACACAACAATATATACATAATTATAACTGAGAAAATACCGTATAAGAACAATATTGAAAACAATATTGTTTACTAATTTATTACAACAAAAAAAAATATTGTGCGTTCTCTCCCACTTTAATAATCTTATCGTAATAGAGAAAAAAAAACACCATCATAATCTATATATTTTTCCTAGGATAACTTGAACTCGTTACATCTGGTAAATACAAATATACAAAAAAGGAAGATATTTGTATACAATGTAAACAAAATAAGGGAATACAAAAAAAAATATATAAAATAATAAAAGAACAAAAAATGAATGCCATTTTTATTAACAATAATTTTTTTGTTTTTCTAAATAAATACTAGTTTTATGTATGTTTGTATGTATACAAGAAGGATTGTTTAGGTCAAATATGCTCTTGACTTTTATTATTTTCCTTCTTTATATAAATTATATTTGTTATTTTATTTTTGTATATCAAAAGTTTAGATTTCTTTTTTTGTTTTGGGAACAAACTTTAGTTCCTTCTATAGATAACAAAAAATTTTTGCACACGTATTCAAAATATTATACGATCACATATGCAATTATAAAATGTAAGATAAAAGTTTTATATCACGTAATTGTAATAACACTAGTGTATCAGTAACTAAATTATAGTAATAATAACGGTAAACATATGAATGCATATTACAAAATCAAATACCTTTCTATATACGAGTATATATTGTAAAAATATATTTATGTATATTAGAATTTTCTAACATTTTATAACTCCAAAACCATGTTATATATTATTTGTCATTGCAGGCGATTAAAAAGAAAAAAGAAAGTATTCTAGGTCATGTACATTGTACAATTACGATATTCACTATTTATACATTTATATTTTATGCATACTTACATAATATATAAAATGTCTGTACAATAAATTATGAAAACAAAATATGTTCATAGCTACATATATTTTGCGGAACGAAGCTCTTCATTTCAGTTACCGAGAAAATAAAAACTTGCAAAACTTTATTCTCTACATAATACAAAAGAATATTAAAAATAACAATTTAGAGAGCATAAAAAATAAAAAAAAATCCAGCACAATAATAAAATGTCAATGTAAAAATTTTTCACATTCCTAACAAATACGAGTATGGTACATATAAGTTAGGAAGAATTTATTAAATGATATAGGTGCCAGCAGCTATTTGTTATCGTTGCTGCAATTGCTTTTAAATGCGATTAAGTATAAAAAATTGAAGTTTTGAAATAGTGAATTAAAACGAGAAGGTTGTGGAATTTTAAAAATTTGCAATTGATTTGTTTTTCGTTTCTTTTTTTTCAAAAGGACATTCGCTTTCCTGTTATTATTTTAATCGTATAACCAAGAGTTGTGATACAGAAATGTAAGTATTTAAATAATATATTTTTTTTTAATTTTATTTAAAAAAATTTCATTACATGTTTTGAATGCATATAAAATTATTATTTTCTTTAAGAAAGTTAGATATTGAAAGAAAATTTTGAAATGCCCCGTAAAGTATGCAAAATTTTATGATATAACGTTTTTGTTTTTATTTATTAGTTTATAAAATATATAATCAAATTGATATTATTACAAAGTTGAATAAACAAATTAAAATTAAATAATTATCAATTAAGTGGTAGTATAGCGATAGACATAATACATCATACAATCAGAAGGTGACGCGAGAAAGTAATTACATAAAATTGTACGTATTTAGGCATCGATCATTATAATTCTCCTCTAATTTGGTAAAAATTGAAAGCGAATCAAAAACGACGAATATAAAAATTTAAAATTCAAAATTCTTTTCATAAAAAACATAATAAAAGATTTAAGGATCGGTTACTTGTTTAATCGAATTAAGGTATAATGAAAAAAAAATGATATTCATTTTCTAAAAACACATGTTTCTAGACTTAAAAATTGATTTAGTTAAAATTTCAAAATATTAGCATTATAAAATTCACAAGGTTTATACATATTTCATTTTGTAATTATTTGAGTACTAGTTGGGGTCTGCCTATACATAAAAATATGTATAAATTTTTTTAATTTTAAATTTATAAATTTATGAATTTTCTTAAAGCTGCGATCATGCGAACTCATAAATCTTTCGAATAATGTAAGATATTATTCGAAAATACAATATTTGTATAGGATTTATGAATGATGACATATCATTTCTGTGAGATTATTATTACATAACCAAAGCATTAAATTTTCGTCATTTACACATTTCTTAATACAAAATTTTTTTAAGTATCATTCAATGATTTTATAAAAAAATATTTTAAATTTATTCAAATACTATATATATAGAATTTATATATGAAATTCAATTTAATAAAGTAAATGTAAAATATATTTGGATTTTATAACTTATAGCACCCGCAATAAGATATTCGCCATAATTTAAAGTTTATTTCTTTTTTAATTCATAAATAATTTAAAATAAAATTTTTCATATTTTATTTATTATTCCTATTATTTTAATATTAATGGAATATCACTCTATTATAACATAAATAATCTGTTGTATTTCTGAATTAATCCCTGTAATTCTAAAGAAAATTTGTAAATATGAATTTCCCGGTTGAAAACAAACTAAATGTAATTGTTTGTTGAAACTTATTGAAAATTAATTATTACATACAATAAAACAAAGGGAAATTCAGGAAATAAATAACAAACCTAATTTCTATAAAATAAAAATTGTATATATTTTTTGATTTTATCATAACATTTACTTTGAAATAAATACTTTTATAAAAAATAGATTAAGAATTGAATTACAATGTATAAATATGACAATAAAATTAAATATTTTTATTTCTATTATTTTTTCTTTCCAATTTTTACACGCTATCTTCTATGATTTCCAACTAAATATGAATATTAATTTGATTCCTAATATCAATTTTTCAATTATAATTCATAAACTACATGAATGAACTCAAAAAAAAATTTATTTGGCACCATTCTTGTCATAAAATATTGAGTAAACTATGCATTTAATTATTTACTTAAATTAATCGTAATTGAAATAGAATTAAACTAGGGGGGCACTGTCACTTTTTAAACAAAAATTTATCACAAAATCTTGATAGAAAATTATGGATCAATTTATTTAAATTCATAAAATTGAAGTCTTGAAAAAAATTTACTTAGAAATTTAAAAAGGGCCGAATGCAAGCTCAAATATCTTTTAGCTTGAAATAAAATGGTTTTAAATATGGCTGATATCATAAAATTTGCACTTTAATTGAAATTTTAAAATCCCAACGCGATTATAGTTGGACATTGAACTTCAAAAGTGTATTTAATTTTTTTTTTTTTTTTAAATTTAAATTAGATTTTGAATGTATAAGAAGCAATAAATATAACCGATTAAGATTTATTACTCATGATAAAATCCATATAATAGTTACATTTACCTTATATATAAATGTTTTATTTAAAATTTTAAAAAAACTATTCTCTATTAAATTCACTTACCTTTTCTATGTTATATTTTTCCAATGCTTGTGTCGCACAATCAACAGCATCCTGCTGCATTTCTTCGCTCATATCAGCATTTTTAATAACTGCTTTACGATCAGACATTTTTCTTTTGACTGAGGGTGACCTATGAAATATTTAAAGTGGGAGTAGAAAAAAATATAAAAAAAAAAAATAAAATAAATAAATAAAATAAAGAAAAATTAAAAATAAGAAATGAGAAAAACGAAATTGAAAATAATAAAAAAAAAAAAATGAAAATATTTTTTTTTACACATAAGAAAACAACAAATTAAAAAAAAAGTTATTAAATATATAAAAATAATATACATATACAAATAAATATATATACATATTATATATTATATACATGTTATATAAAAGGATATATGTCAAGGACATAAAGGATTTTTTTCTCTAGAAATACAATTATACACTTGGTGTTTTGTTTTTTTTTTTTATAAAACATTCAAATCACTATTTTAAATCATAATTTTATACATACATACATGTATGGTAACGTATGACTAATAAGTATACACTGTAAAAATAATATAAATTTGAAATTGTTTAAAAATGAAAATGTGCCGTGCCGGTTATGGTTAAATTTCACTAAGAAAAATTTGTGCCTAAAAATGTAAAAAATTTTTTTTTGCTTGACAATGTATATAGGGTCATTATTTTTAGTTTTGGATTCAAATGCGGTTTAAAGGTGTTTTAACAACATTGTTTAGTAAACGAATACTATACTAAAATTTAAGTCGTTCTACTAAAATCGAATACTACTAAAATCTAAGGTCTTTTTTCGCCCTCTTTATGCCAAAAAATATTAAAAAGGAAAACATTTTTTTGCCGCTTCATATGCAATTTTCGAAAGGATTTCGAAAAATTTAATCACAATACTAGTTGTAGTCCTAATCCTTATATATATATATATATATATATATATATATATATTATATTATATTCAAATTAAACAAAAAATTTTTTTTTACAGTGTACTATAATCATATTTAATATTTTATTACGAGTAATTAATTTTTAGAGTAAAATAAATAATAATAAAAAATAAAAAAAAATATGTAAATAAATAGGACATGAAACTTATTTCAAAGTGATGATATATCCAAGGATAATGTTAAAAAAATAAATAAAATAAAAAAAATGTGATTGTCGAATTCACTGGAAAGCATTTTACATAATATACTTAATTTTTTTTTATTAATAACACTTTAAAATGAAATTAAATTTTATATCATTTAATTTTAAACTATTAAAAGAAAAAATATTAAAAAATAAGCCAAAAATGTCATTTTATGTCTACATGATTGTGTACCTACTATAGCACACATATACTTATAAAAAAATTTAAGTAGTTCTTTAACCCTTTGACATTAAAATTGAGTTTTTTTAAAATTCGCAAATTGATAAAATTCGAATTATAGTCGCATGAGAAATTTTTAAAATTTTTTTTTATTTTCTTTTTAATATGAATATATGTACTTAAATTTGCGAAATTAATAAAGCATAATTCTATATAAGACTTAAGGACTCAAGCATAAATAAAAATAGTTCACTTAGTAACGAAAGCAAGTTTTATAAGAATTTAAAATTTTTTACAATTTTAACAATGTTTCATGTAAAAGCTTTTTGCTTCTGAACACGCGAATTCATTAGAATTTTGAATTTTTCAACAATTATGATAATTTTGTAAGCCATCTGTCGTAAGAATAATATTCAATATTATTATATTCAATATATTGCATTACACATCCCTGATATCCACATACACTATTATCCTTAGTTTATAAAATTAATATAAAAATTTAATTTTATAAATAAGCAATGGAAAATTTACAAAATAAAACATAAATGGCACCAAAAAGTTTCTGCCTAAAAGGATGTGCATATAAATATGTTCGACTGTAAAATGCTATTAAATTTACAAAAATAGTTGCGTTCTTTTGCTCCAGCTCAAGTTCTTCGTAAGTCATTTAATGTGAAACAAAACGGCTGTTCACAATGATATCAAACGGTTTTAGTCTTGGGTTTTCGTGAAACGATTTTCGTAATCGGAAAAATGGTAAATTAGTACGCATCAATTTTTATGATATTATTTTCTGATTTCTGAAAATACGAAAATCGTTTCAGGAAAATCGAATTAAATAATAAGGCCCCAGGTTTCAAATATTTAATAATGCTATTTGTTAAGGTTTGCTGCTTACGAAATTTTTTTTTTGTTTAAAATGTTGGTATTTGTCAACTTAAGAGATTTATTCATCACTTCAAAAACCCGAAACGTTCGTTTAAATTTTATAACACACCCCAGATCTTGAACCAGAGCAAAAGAACACAGCTATAATATACAAAGTAACTTGACAAATTAAGTTCAAGTAAAATTAAGAAATTCACTTTTAAAATTGCATTTGTAAGCACAGGATTATAAAATTTCTCTATTTAGTTTAATAATTATTGAATTCGGCAATATTTTTTTTACATTTCGAAAGTTAAGTTAATTTTTAAAGTTCGTGTTAACACATAATCTACGCCTACATCATATGAGAAACTTCATAAATTTTTATATTAAATATTATATTACATAAGTGTACTTATTAATTTGTCAACAAATTCAATAACATTATTTTTTTTTCTTTTAATTTTAATAATTATAATTAAGTAAATTTTCAATAATATTTACGATTTTAAGTACAAACAATTCTCTACCATTTTTTTTTGTTAATTTCGAAAATAACAAATTAAAGTTCGTATATAACAAACAATAATAAATTCTCATACTTGTACTTCCTTCATATACAATAATTTTCGAATTTATGTATAGAAATAGAAAATATGTCGTATATATTTGCTCAACATACCCCCATGTGCAAAATATATGGGTGAATATATATATATGTATGCAAAATATAATCCGAATAAAATATAAAAACGTTTACGGAATGAAAATTGATTTGATTTTTATCCAAAAAGATAAGAAAAACAAAATCTTTTAAAAATGAAAAAGAAGCCTCATATGAGTAAGTATGTATGTACATACGCACTAAATATTCGTATACATGTCAATTTCATATATTTAACCGTACTATATATGTATGTACATATGAAAAGTTATATTTTATAAAGTATAACATTAAATTATAAAATGTAGCATTTTGTAAATTTTCCATGTATACTTTCTCATATATTTCTTAATTTTCTTAATATACATATAAAATAAAATATACATACATACATATATAGTGAAATCATTATATATTACTATTTTTCATCATCTTTAACTATATATACATACAAATAATTTATTTTAACTATGTATATAGAAAGAAAAACGAGGAGGAAAAAAATAACCGAAAGAGAAAAATATCAACTTTAAGTAAAGACTTTATGGCAATTTTATACATTTCATATAAATATTTAAGAGCTTTAAAAAAATCTAGGATATCTGGCGCCTAATATTATTTTGTATGTATTTATATGAAAAATAACAAAAAAAAAAAGGAAAATGAAAAAATATACATATATATACATATTTTTTCGTAACAGCAGACATTTATCCTTCAAAAAGGACTAAGGAAAACCGAAAGCAAAAAAAAAAATAACAAAAAAATTTTAAATAAGTAAAATAAACAAATAAAAGTGAAAAGTCAATGAAAAAAAAAATGAAATAAATGAAAGTGTGGGATCAAAATCAGATGGGAAAGAAGATATTACTATAAGAGTTGATCTTAGTCGAAATATGGAAAAATTTTACAGGATGTTGAAAAACGAAGCAAAAATCTAATTTATTCCAAGATTTAATACCAAAATTGAATAAATAACCTGAAATTCTTGGACAGTTACGGCAAAAAATAAAGAAAACTTAGATTTGATTGAAATTATTATCTGATACATGAGTAATAATACAACATAATTGATTTTTACTAATATATCCTAAAAGTATGCAATATTTTTAATTCTATATTTATTTTCTAGGGGCTTTCCCAGCAATGATTTCGTAAATTTTCTTGAAACAAAAATTGTAGATCTCCCCGATCTACAATTTATTGCTTTACTAGCAATATCCACCCAGGATATGATCAAATTTTACCGATTTTGATTATCGTTTAAAAGAACTTAAAATAACTAATTTTAATTGGTGTAAATTTTGAATCGACAGATTTCTCATAACTATCAAAAGATTTTTCTAAAGAAACTCCCAAAATTTCACGGTGGTAAATGATGAAAACCCAAAATTTTGCTGTATATTAACACACATCTGCGTTGACGATAACAGCTATCATTAACACCAAATATTTTGATAATTAAATAAACCGAATCCAATTGTTCAAAAATAAAAAACAAAAACATTTTATTTCGTCAATTGTCACTTTTCAAAATCAAATGTAATTCTTATTAACAATCCGACCCTGTCCTTTTAAATAGTATATAGAATAAAGAGATAAGTCATAAAAGAAAAAACTATCACAAGAAATCTATTACAAAATGTTTTAAAATATTTCTGTATATGTACAATATGTATACAGGGTGAACCTGTGATAGATATAATTTCCTGGGGACAGAAAGGTGGGAAATTTTTATAAAAAAAAATCGTTCCTGGGTGAGGAGAACCCAACAATGAGTAAACGAATATTTAACCACCAAAATCCAATTTGAATTTTTTTGATTTCGACAAAAAGGTGTATTAACTTAAATGGCTATATAACTTTCATTTAATTATTCCATAGTCCCCCCCCCCCCCCCCCAACCATCCCAAAATTAACGATTTTTTCATAAAACTGTCCTACATTTCTGCCCCCGAGAGATTATATCACGTTACAAGTCACCCTGTATATAAATTTACATGTATAAGTAAGTTTTCTATATTTGGAACTACTTACATAGATTTATTTTATCTTCAAAAGTTACATAAAAAATCACCAAAGAAAATAACATGAATTGAAAGTAGAACAATAACAAAAAGAATCGCAAATAATAATAAAATAAAATCCATATATACATAAAGTGAGAATAAGAGAAGTAAGTAAATGGCTATATATACATAAATAAAAGTAAATATTTATGTATATAATATATATTTATATTTAAATGAAAACAAATGACTTTCACCGA